TTTGGGTTAGGTAGGTCGAATGCTGAAAAATCATCTTTTAAAAGAGTTTTTAAGAAAACGTCAGTTAAAAGATAAACCAGTCTGCGTTTAACCAAAAATTCGTTCTTTTTAATAATAAAAAAGGATTCGTGGTCGGTTACGTTTGGGGAAGGATTATCACCCCCACAACGCTCAAAATTGGTACCCGTCGATTATAAATTGTCTCTATTAATGGAAAAACCTATATAAAATGATTTTTATAAATAAGGTATTTATTTATTTAAAAATATCATAAAAGGAAACCTAGTTGCTTTAAGACAACCCCTTTCTTTAATATTAAAAATAAATAAATAAATATTAAAAATATGATTAAATAAAATAAAAATATAATATAATATTTTATTTATTTAAAAATATCAGAAAATGACATCTAGTTATTTTAAGACAACCCATTTCTTTAATATTAATAATTAAATAAATAATAATAATAATAATATGACAATTTTTTCTAAAATATAATTTAAATAAAACTAAATTATAGTATTTTATTTATTTAAAAAGATCAGAAAAGGACATCAAGTTATTTTAAGACAGCTCCTTTCTTAATATTAGAAAAATAAATAAATACTATTATTTAATTAAATATATTCATATGAAATAAAATAATAATTAAATATTATATAAAAATATTAGAACATAAGGATAATAATAAAATTGCAATTAAATAATGACTAAAACAAATAAAATAAAAATAGTAAGATTAAAATGTAAAATATATAAATTAATAGTCATAAATTAAAATATCATAAAATAAGAATATTAACAGTGTAATTTAACCTAATTAATTATTCGGGATTAAAATATTCATTATTAAAATTACAATGACTAAATCGTTTATTTTACCTAAAATATATAAATGTATGGCAGTGACTAAGTTATAAATAAAATAAAATTAAGAGACCGAATTAAAATGATTATAAATTGATTTAAGTGACTAAAACATAAAGTTATAAAACTATGGGTATTACGGAAAGGGTTTGCCCTTGTGCACAAATTACACATATACCCTTTCCCAAAATGACGCCGTTTGGGAGGGGTATATAAACACCCAAATGGCCGGCCCTAAGGGCCATTTTTCTTGTTTCATTCTCTCTCTAATTGAGAGAGAATAAAAAACGCTCTGACCTCTCTCTAGGTTTCCCTCGTTAGAGGGAAACCGGTCGACGGTCGATTGTCTTACGCCTCCGCCAACACCGTCGCTGGTGGCCGAAAAATACAATATACCCTCAAAAGATAGATCGGAATGATCTAAGACCAAATTTGGCCCCCGTTTTTCTCTAAAAAGCCTCATATTTTTGTAGATCTAAAGAAATACCTTCGGTATTTCGACCTCGATGGTGGCGCATGGAGGCACGTGTGAACTCCAGTGACAGCGCCGCTTCTTCGGTGAGTCTCTCTATATTTTTGTGTTTTGATATTTGATGATTTGGTTGCTGTATTCCTGCTGGTGATTTCGGACCGGATAATAAGTTGATTTTCGGTGAGTCACCGGACTATGTGGTGACTCACCGAATGACTGGGACGTGGACGACTAACGTTGGGATTTTCGGAGCCTTCAATTAGGGCGTGGCAGTGGTTGGAGCGACGTGGAGCGGTGGGAGCAGAGGTGGCCGCGTGGCCCTAGGGTTATAATACCCTAGGATTTTTATCTGGAGGGTTCTGGGCCGTTGGATCTTGCCAGATCTAACGGCTGATGGCGTTGGCGGTTGGGTGTTGAGATGTAAACCCTAATCATGTTTAGGGTTACACATTTGGGCTCCGAGTTTGGGTCTGGACCAGATTGGGTTTTTGGGTCATTGTTAGACCTCTTTTGTAATTTGGGCTCAGGGATTGTTGTATGTTGGGCTTACAATAATAAAATTTATTTAATAATAATAATAAAAATAATAGTAAAATAATAATAATAAATAAATAAACAAAAATGGGCAAAAAAACTAATGTCTACAATATACACCTTCATTACACTTTTTTAAGACGATCTTCTTCAACTTTAATAAATTAAAAAAATCACTAATAACTATTTTCGGTGTAAATTAAAAGGAATAAATCATTTATCATTAATATAACACATTATTACTTACCATCAATAAGGGTTATGGATTGCAATCATGTTTATTCCTCCATTTTAGTATTGCATTAATTTCATGCACTCAAGTCAACCATGATATTTCCAAGGACAAAATTGAAACAAAGGTACCTTTGGTAATTTTATTCTTTCTTCTTAGCTAAAGAGTGTCCTTATTTGGATTTCTTAGTTATAGTTTATTTCACAATATAAAGAGAGCCGCAACTTCCTATGTTAAATATATTGCTGGATCAATTTGTTCCACCAACTTTTTTTTTATGAGCTACCATATGTATTAGACTTAATATAAAAAAAAAAGTGTTTAAACCATCTTATCGCCGATCAATGGATCAGACGATTGTGATCAAGGTGGAAAAGGCCGACTTCAGACTAGGTGAAAGCTAATGTCGATTGATTAGTCTAACAAAGCTAGTTGAAACTTCATATTTATACCCCTAATATTATTGTTGAAATCCCTAAATTTTAATACTCAAATCCCTAAATTAAAACCATAAATCTCTAAAAAAAAATAAAATCAAAATTTAAATTTCAAAATCCCAATCAGATTTGGTCTTCATACACAGGATGAGGAGCCAAAACCGGGAAGAAGGGGAGAGAAAATTGCGGCTGGGGGAAGGGGAATTGCCGTTGGTGGGGAGGCACGGGGGTTCAGAGTTTCTTTATTATTTTTTGTTAATATTTTTTATAAAATATAAACACGACACGTGTCACTTAATGATTTTTAACGACGTTACATTTCAGACACATAAAAGTATAACGTTAAAAATATTGAACACTTATATTTAACCAAAAAAATTTAGATACATAAAATTAACTTTGAATATAATTTAAACATTTATATTTACATTAATTCCTAATTATTAACAAATTACCATGAAAAAACATATTAAATATACGATATATTTATTGTTAGTGTGTTACCACTAATTATTTATGTAATTTTAATTATTTTTTATTTAATAAAATTAAATACTATTATCCTAAAAATATACTTAACAATACAAACTAAATAACATCAACCACACAAACTAAGCGACCTCAAACTAACGGCCTAATTGGTTTAGGAATTTGTTGTTATTCTATGAATAGAAACGAACACATAATTTTATGTTAAGGGAGATAAACTTATAAAATTCCAATGGTGAAAACAATTTTTTAATAAAAAATACATAGAAAAAATATATGATAACTTTAAACTTTCGAAGTGAAAGACTGCCTCCACCCACCTCTTCTCTTAGTCCATCCTTGTCCATAAGGTCCTAGGTAGCATTGTATATGCCATTAATATGAGCATTCATTATTGAATGATTAAGATTCTTTAAACATATAATGTTATATCTACTGCAGATTTATTATTAAATGATTAAGGTGGTGTTCGTTTTCACTGTGCAAGCTCTTAAAACCATTTATGTTTGTGTCGCGCAGATCACGCTCAGACATTAGGCTTCGCAGACTGTTTGTTTTTAAGAAAACAGAAGCTCTTCAAACGTCTACGCGAGCTCTTCTTGGTGCAGACTTGGTTTCATGTCTTCAAAGGTCTTCAAACCTCTTCAAGAACAATTATAAAATATAGTTATTTATTAAAATAATTTTAAATAATTTAATAAGGTTATTTATTTTAAAATAATTTATTTTAAAATAATTTATTATAAAATAATTTATTTTAAAATAATTTATTATAAAATAATTTATTATAAAATAATTTATTTTAAAATAAATTATTATAAAATATGGATTGATTTATTTTAAAATAATTTATTTTAAATAATTTATTAGTATGGATTTATTTATTTTAAAATATGAATTGATTTATTTTAAATAATTTATTAGTATGGATTGATTTATTTTAAAATATGGATTGATTTATTATTGTAGTTGTATGAATTGATTTGTTTTAAAATATGGATTGATTTATTTTAACTAATTTATTAGTATCCATTGATTTATTTTAAAATATAGATTGATTTATTTTAAATAATTTATTAGTATGGATTGATTTATTTTAAATAATTTATTAGTATGGATTGATTTATTTTAAAATATGGATTGATTTATTATTGTAGTTGTATGGATTGATTTATTTTAAATAATTTATTAGTATAGATTGATTTATTTTAAAATATAGATTGATTTATTTTAAATAATTTATTAGTATCCATTGATTTATTTTAAAATATGGATTGATTTATTTTAAATAATTTATTTGTATGGATTGATTTATTTTAAAACATGAATTGATTTATTATTGTAGTTGTATGGATTGATTTATTTTAAATAATTTATTAGTATAGATTGATTTATTTTAAAATATGGATTGATTTATTTTAAATAATTTATTATTGTAGTTGTATGGATTATTTAAATTTCAGTATTATAAAACTAAAATTATTTAAATCTCAGTATTGCAAAACGCTTTTAAGTTTAAAAAATCAGTTTATTTATATTTCAGTTCATTTTAGCAGCCTGCAGACGTTAAAAAACAGTCTTCTTCTTGCAGACTGCAGACATTTGGTCCACCTCTTCTGCTACAGATGCCTGCAGATGTGGTCCGCAGACTGCAGACTTTTTACCTCTGCAAAAACAAACACCACCTAAGAGTCTTTAAATATATATTATTATATCTACTGCAGTTTTATAAAAAAAATACCTAATTGAATAATTTATATTATATGACTCGTGAATTTGGTCTCATTCTTTAGTAACCTTAATTAAATGTAATTTATATTATAGTTGATAAATATAAAGAAATTAATTATACGAAAATACACATGGAGATGGGTCTCCCAAAGCAAATGGGAAAATGTTGATTTTAATTACTTAATGTTTGCACATATTGACATACATCATAGTGAAAAAGAAAAACATATGTGACCATCTTGTCTAATCATATATTCTCTCTATACTGGTCTGTTTTTTCTTTCTCGAATTTTACAAGGGGTTAAATATTTCATCACCTCACCCATCTGAGCAACTCCAAAAGCATGTATTCTATGCAAGATATATATTATACAAGGAAACTATGCACCAACCAATTCTGCGGTTAAGATTGAAGAGGCTGAAGCTCTTGCTCCGCAATAGGGGAAGCAACCGGCTCATAAGCACTGATTGATTTTCGCCTGTGTCGAACAACTAACCATATCCCAATTGCTGACAAACTAAGAGTTGCATTAAATCCGAGTACAACAGCTAGAACGTGATGTCGAAACCATGACCTGTAAAACTCCGGTAAGAAAACAAGCTATACCATAAGAAACAATATATGGAAGGAAAGAAACATCCTCAAAATAAGAAAATGAATAACTCTGGCAGTACTGCTCTAAAAATCCGTACGGATGTACAGAATCCTATTTCTATTGTTATTGCATAGGACCCAGGTTCGGCCTTGCATCCACATGAACATGATTGTTAAGACCCTATTTTCATAAGAATTCATTGTAGCCAACCACCCGTGCGTTACACATCTATCTCGGTTCAGGTAAATATAGCTTCGTGGTAAGTCCTAAACTGGAACCTTGACAGGTATTATATCATGGTCTACTAAAATGGTTTTGACCAAGGGGTGCATAGCTGATTATGTGCCCCTCACATCCCTCCTAATAATCACATCCTGAAATGCAAAAATAGTGCTAAAGGATGCCTTTCCGTGGCAGAACCATCCAAACTACAACTGTATTGCCAACCCACTTCATCTTTCTATTATCAATAGCATTCTGGCATCCTAGCCCTACCATTCAACTGTGACCCCAACGTCATGGTCCAAAGATTTGTTCACCACAATAAAATACTAGCCAATTCAATCCACACCAGTAAAAAGCATAAAAGGAATAATGAAAGTAGAATGGCAAAAGAAACATACGACTTCCTTTGAGGTTCGGCATTCCATTCAACCAAATTATAATTCCCAAATCTCTCAGGAAACTGCAAACAAATAGATGGAAAACACTGAATTTCAACTCGCAAATATGTGTATCTCAGTAGTGGTAATACCAATGCAGTGGAATTAGCAATGTAATTATCAGATGAAGCAGGAAAAATGCCCCATCTAACAAGGTATTCATTCCCCTTGGAAGTGACATTCAGTAGGCGAACCTGAAACATTTAACCAATCACATAGATATGGCAAAACAGATAAAAGGCAAATTGATAACTGTCAAACATAGAGCTAACATACATGGACACTCATTACACTGATGGACAGACCTATAATTCTAAAATGACCCTTGGGAGTTTCTGTAGAAACAGAGTTTTCCGACTCTGGTAAACAGAGTTTTCCGGTTTGGGTAAACAGGGTTTTTTAATTCTGAAATTATTTTTATTCAAAGAACAATGGCATATTACACAAGAGGATACATGGGATTTTTATATATATGAATTAGAGACCTAGATAAGATAGGAGTCATCTTTTCTACAAATTAGGAGATAGTTTTTGAGATAAGTTAGGATTTAGAGTTTAACTTAAACACTACTTACACTCCCCCTCAAGCTGGGGAGTAAATATTGTGAAGACCCAACTTGGATGTAATTTCGTCAAAGGTAATCCTTGGAACTGCCTTGGTCAATACATCTGCTAGTTGGTTTTGTGAAGGGTCGTAGTTTAGTTTCACAGTTCCGCCATTTACTTTTTTTGCAATAAAGTGTCTGTCGATCTCCACATGTTTTGTTCTGTCGTGGTGCACCGGATTCTTTGCAATGCTTATCGCAAATTTGTTGTCACTCAGATGTTCAAAATTGTTGTTGCCGCACATCTCTAGTTTAGTTAAGAGTCTTTGTAGCCAAATTCTCTCACATATTCCGAGTACCATCACCCTATATTATGTCCTGCACTGCTTCTGGAGACTACTGATTGTTTCTTGCTTCTCTATGTCACTAGGTTTCCCCACACAAATGAGCAGTATCTCATGGTTGACCTTCTATCTGTTAATTCTCCATCCCAGCTTGAATCTGAGAAGATTTTAATTGTTCTGTCTTCATGTCTTCTAAAAATCAACCAATGTCCTGGTGTCATCTTTAGATATCTTAAGATTCGATTAACTGCCTCCAGATGTTCTTCTCTTGGATCATTCATGTATTAACTAACAACGCTAACAGGAAAATTAATGTCAGGTCTAGTTAGAGATAGATAAATGAGTTTACCAACTAGCCTTTGATAATGTTCCTTGTTTACCGGGTTTCCATCTTTATTCAATTTCAAGTTAACTTCCATACGAGTTTCTGGGGGCTTACAATTAGTTATTTCAGTTTCAAAAAGTAAGTCTAGAATATACTTTCTTTGATTTATGACGATTTCTTCTCGTATCTCGCTACCTCCATGCCTAGGAAATATTTCAGAGTTCCCAAATCTTTGGTTTCAAACTTTTTTCCTAGTAATGTCTTCAACTTCTCGATTTCTACCAAGTCATCACCCTTGATAATGATATCATCAACGTAGACAATCAAGATTGACTTCTTCTTATCAGGAGCAATTTTACAAACAGGGTGTGATCAGATTGACATTGTTTGCAGTTGTCTTGTAACATTACCTTTGTGAATCTATCAAACCAAGCTCGAGGTGATTGTTTTAGACCATATAAGGATTTCAGTAATTTACATACCCGGTTATTTCTAGAATGAATTCCTGGTGGAACTTGCATATAAACCTCTTCTTCAAGATTGTCATTGAGAAATGCATTTTTTACGTCTAATTGGTAAAGTATCCAATCCTTGTTCACTGCCAAGGATGATAGAACTCGAACAGTGTTAAGTTTTGCAACTGGAGCAAATGTCTCCTGATAGTCAACTACATAAGTCTAAGTGAACCCTTTTGCCACAAGTCTAGCCTTATATCTCTCAATTTTTCCATCTGCCTTAAATTTCACAGTAAAGACCCATTTGCAGCCGACTGGTTTCTTTTCTTTAGGTAGGTCAACAATGACCCAGGTTTTGTTGTTTTCTAGAGCTGAAATTTCTTCTTCAACTGCCTTCTTCCACTCAGGACTTTTTAATGCCTCCTCTATGGTCTCTGGAATGTGAATATGATCAACATGAGCTGTGAAAGTCTTAAAATCAGACATTAGTTTCCCATAAGCAACAAATTTACTAATAGGATGAGTTGTACATCGTCTAACTCCATTTCTTTGAGCAATTAGTAACTCACTAGTATCAATTACCACATCCAACTTACTTTGTTCACAATCTCCTTTGTCTGTTGATGGATTTAAGCCCAATTCTGGCTCTTGACAATGCAATGGTTGCAGTGTGGAAAGTAGGGCATGTTTGGGCCGTCTTTTGTAGATGAGAATATTCGGTCGATGGGATTAATGGATTGGTTTTCATTATCACATATGGTGGTGTTAGGAGGTTGTGGAGTGATATTTTTTTTAGTAGAAGATGGATTGATGAGTAACTCAGTAATAATCGATAAAAATTGAAATTCAGACTCACTCTCCCCCTAGATTTCGGTTTTTGAGAAGAACAGTTTATGTTATTGAAAAGTGACATCCATAGATGTGAAGAACCTTTTTGTAGGAGAATAGCAACGATAACCTTTCTGATGGGATGAATAACCTACAAAGACACACCGAATTGCCCGAGGATTAAATTTAGATTTATGAGGATTGTGGTCATGGACAAAGGCAGTACAACCAAAGACACGAAGAGGAACAGAAGAGGTAAAAGGTTTGAAGTGAGGGAATTTAGTGGAAAGGATATCCCATGGACACTTAAAGGCAAGAATCTTACTAGTCAAACGATTGATTAGAAAAATAGTTGTTAAGAGAGCCTCACCCCAAAGGTATTTTGGAACATTAGAAGAAAAAATGAGTGCTCGAGTTACCTCAAGAAGATGACGGTTTTTACATTCGGCGACCCTATTTTGTTGTGAAGTGTCTGACGGGATGAATAACCTACAAAGACACCGAATTGCCCGAGGATTAAGTTTAGATTTATGAGGATTGTGGTCACGGACAAAGGCAGTACAACCAAAGACACGAAGACGAACAGAAGAGGTAAAAGGTTTGAAGTGAGGGAATTTAATGGAAATGATATCCCGTGGACACTTAAAGGCAAGAATCTTACTAGGCAAACAATTGATTAGAAAAATAGTTGTCAAGAGAGCCTCACCCCAAAGGTATTTTGGAACATTAGAAGAAAAAATGAGTGTTCGAGTTACCTCAAGAAGATGACGGTTTTTACGTTCGACGACCCCATTTTGTTGTGAAGTGTCGACACAGGAAGTGAGGTGGACTATTATGTTTTCCTGGAAGAAGGATCCCAACGACTGAGAGAGGTATTCCCCACCATTATTAGATTTAAGGATGCCAATGGAACTTTGGAATTGTGTTTCAACCATTTTCTGGAATCGTTTGAAGATGGTACAAGACTCAGATTTGTCCTTCATAAGAAAGGTCCAAGTGATACGAGAGTGGTCGTCAATAAAAGTAATAAACCAACGAATTCCATGGAAACCCGTAACCCGTAAAGGTCCCCAAATGTTGCTATGAATTAAGGAAAAAGGTTTAAGCAAGCAAAAGGGAGAAGTAAGATAAGAACTCCGAATGTGTTTTGCAAGAGAGCAAATGTCATAAGAAAATGATGCGTGATTTTTACTAATAAATAATAATTGAGAAAATAACTTCAGTGACTGAAAATGCCTTATAATATACGATTTTAACCAACTTTTTTTGAATTTGCGAAAATAACCAACAAATTAGCAACGCGAACTCCAATTTCACAACACATGTTCCCAAATCACAACGCGATTTTCCAAAAGCGCAACGCGATTTTCAAATTCGCAACGCTAATTACCAATATAGGTAAACACAACTATCGCAACGCGAATTTCGCAAATCGAATTCGCCAATTTCGCAACTTAATTACCGACATAGGTAAACAGTACTATCGCAACGCAATTTTCAAATTCGAAACGCTAATTACCGATATAGGTAAACAGTACTATCGCAACGTGATTTTCAAATTCACGACGTGATTTTCAAATTCGCAACGCTAATTACCGATATAGGTAAACAGTACTATCGCAACGCGATTTTGAAACTGTGTTGCGATTTACATATTCGCGTTGCGTATTTGGAAACTGTGTTGCGAAATTGGAGTTCGCGTTGCGAATTTGTTGGTTATTTTCGCAAATCCAAAAAAAGTTGGTTAAAATCGTATATTATAAGGCATTTTCGGTCACTGAAGTTATTTTCTCTAAATAATTTGGGAAACAATTTTGCAAGATAAGAAAAACTTGGGTGACCTAACCTAAAATGCCATAACACAATGTCGGCAGCCACATCTGTGGGAGAAACTGAAACAAAAGAAGAGATAAATGGTGCAAGTGAGTGGTTGGGACCGAGAGTATAAGGAGGAGCGTCAAGGATGTAGAGTCCACCACGACGCCTAGCATTGCCAATCACCATCCCCGAGGTCAAATCCTGAAATTCACAATAATCACGAGTAAAATGAGAAGTACAACCCAAATCAATAGATAATTTGCTATTCGAGTAGATAATTTGCTAATCGAAAAAAGATTGCAAGTCAAACTTGGAACAAATAGAACATTAGGTAGAGTAATGTGGCTATTAATGCGAACTGAGTCACTGCCCTTAACCGGTGATAGGGAGCCATCAGCAGTACGAACACAGCATGAGATACCATTTTTGTGAAATGTGGAAAATAAACTGACGTTGCCCGTCATATGATCACTTGCTCTGGAATCAACAATCCAAGAGGCACACACTAGTGAAGGGGATAAGAAGGTAAAAGGAGAACTACCTTCACTAACAGTGCAGGCAGACTTGGACTCGGTAGCAGGAGAAATCTGTAAATGACCAAACATCTGCCATAGATCGTTCAACTGTTGAAGAGAAAAGGAACCACCCTCCAATGTCGTTACAGCAGAGTTACCGTGATATGGACACGAGAAGGATTTGGATGGAGTCCAGTTGGCTGGACAGCCATGGAGCTTCCAGCATTTATCACAAAAATGACCAAGTTTCCGACAGTGATCGCTAGGGACGACCTTTCATGACACGGGTGTCACTGGATGAATGGGTATTTAAGGCATAACTTTCAACGGGTGGAGCAAGCATTAGAGAGCGACGGCTTTCTTCGCGGCGAACTTCAGAGAACACCTCACGAAGAGACAGAAGAGACCTGATGCCCAAAATCCGGCCACGGCATCATCAAGAGAGACGGACAGCCCCGATAGGAATTGAAAAATACGTCATTTTTCAAGTAGCTCTTTGTAGAGTTTGGCATCTACACTGGTTTTCCAATTAGGAGACTCAAATAGATCAATTTGTTTCCATAAGTGAGGCAGCTGAGTGAAGTATTGGGTAATAGTGAGATCTCCCTGTTTCAAGTCGTTGATTCGACATTCAATGGCAAACGAGTGGACAAGTTTTCTTGATTGGAGTACATCTCCCTGGCAACGTTCCAGATTCCCGAAGCGGTGGTGTAGAGCCTGAAGTTCGCACTAATGTCAGGCAACATAGAGTTGAGGAGCCAGGACAAAATCGTGGTTTTCTCGGTGAGCCAAGTGTCGTATTGGGGGTCGGTGGGATCTGGGACCGGAATATTGTCAAAGAGATTTTGTCGTTTCCAGAGACTAGTGATGAACAGATGCACGGAGTGAGACCAAGCAATATAATTCTCACAATTTATACGATGACAAGTAATGGACGAGGAAACCGATTCAGAAGGAAGACGGTTGAACAATGGAAGTTTCAGCCTCGGATGGCAAGTTGGACGAAGAAGGATATGCCATGACTGTCAAGGAATTGAGAGTTTGGGATATGTCGCGAACTAGTAGGGAACACTGCTATAAGTGACAATCAGAGATTTGAGGAGATCGACGCTAGGATGAGTATCGAATGGGTTGTGCAGTGAGGAAATATGTTGGCCAGATAGTTACCAATAACGGGAACAAGTACCAAACAGCGGAACAAGAAGGGTTGCTGCTGTGATGAGGGCAGCGCTGGACCGGCGGCACGACAAGAGCAATACGGCGAGGAGAGCAGTGCTATGACAGAAGTGGCACTACTGTGATTGCACAGCAAGACGGCGTTGCGAAGAATTTCACAATTGGAAGGATTGCAGTGCATAGAAGGCACACTGCTGGTCGAAATGATGACGAACGGCGGCGGAAGCAAGGTTGAGATCGACGCCGACGACTGATACCATGTAGAAACAGAGTTTTCCGGCTCTGGTAAACAGAGTTTTTCGGTTCCGGCTCTAGTAAACAGAGTTTTCCGGCACTGGTAAACAAAGTTTTCCGGCACTGGTAAACAAAGTTTTTCGACACTGGTAAGCAGAGTTTTCCGATTCTGGTAAACAGGGTTTTTTTTTAATTTTGAAATCATTTTTATTCAAAGAACAATTGCATATTACACAAGAGGATACATGAGATTTTTATATACATGAATCAGAGACCTAGATAAGATAGGAGTCATATTTTCTACAAATTAGGAGATAGTTTTTTAGATAAGTTAGGATTTAGAGTTTAAGTTAAACACGTAGTTTTTTATTTATGTTAGGGTTTAGAGTTTAACTTAAACACTACTTACAGTTTCCTATATCCCCCACTCAACAGTACCCACAAGAAGAAACCCACATAATCACATGGTAATAAAGAATAACTCCAAGGTTAAAGTTAAATACTAGATATCTTCATGGGCTAGTTAGAGTTAGGTTCAAGGTAGCTTATGCATAATATCTAGAGCTCTAGGCCTCTGACCAGAAAGAAATCTGTCTGGGTCCAGATGGTTTTTTATCAGGCCTACCTTTTTTGTCTAAGCCCAACCCATTCAAACTTTGGGTGGGCTAGTAGGCTACTTGACAGGTGAACACATATACTTAAATCTGCAAGTAACATGTAGTGACAAAACCACACAAAAAGTGAAGTGATAAATAAAATATTTTAATAACACTCCAATGCACACCCTCAAATCTAATTCCCACAAGGCCTAAAAAACCTGGTTAAAGTCAAAGTAATTCAGCTGCACCTGTGAATTATCGACTTCCAGTTCCTTGGAAATCAATTCTCCAAGCTCCTCAAAGTTTAGCTTTGATTTGGAATCATTTGTGCTAATTGACATATCAAACGTTATAAATCCAATATGAAATGAACCTGATTATCATGTTTGAGGAGACAATATCATCAAAGGAAATATACATTTACAAGATCAATTTGTATAAATGCTTGCATCACGATCACTAAAACTACTAAGATTATCATCAGTCTAAGTGTCAACAATAAAAAAAGAAAAAGCAGCACGTCGTGCAACACCATTATTCTAAAGCAATCAATAAGCTCATTCTGGAGACATCATCAAAGGAAATATACATTTACAAGATCAATTTGTATAAATGCTTGCATCACGATCACTAAAACTACTAAGATTATCATCAGTCTAAGTGTCAACAATAAAAAAAGAAAAAGCAGCACGTCGTGCAAACACCATTATTCTAAAGCAATCAATAAGCTCATTCTGCTAATACAAAAAGATGATCATAGGCTAAACAAGATTATTAAAAAGGATGTGATCCAAAATTAGGCCATCTCAACTATAATAAGCTTTAAATGCATGCACATAATTTGTATTTGACTAGAAACCAAACTATAAATGAGAAACATATATATTCTGTAAGGATTTATCTTGGATAACTTGCAATGGAGATTCTATAAGTGGGGTTAAAAGTTGCCACATGCTACATTTCTTTCCATATTTGCAAGGGTTTATCTGACTAGAAACCAGATTATAAATGAGAAACATAATTTTGCGTGTGCCTTAATTTTCCATTCATGAGAAAAGAGCTGCTGTACTATATAGAAGAAAGAAATATATGGTGACCATGATACATCCATTCATGGAAAGATGCAAGGGAAGAAACCAAGTAACAGGGGAAACATTGTGAGGAAGCAAGTATATGCCATGCACCTGGAAGAACATTTGGTGGTGATCCACTTAGGGTTGATGCTGGAGAAATTTCCCTGTTAGTATCATTTCTTTGGGAAACTAAAGGAGCTGGTGCAGGTGCAACAGATGACCACACTCTCATCCACAGTTCAAAACAATTAGTTTTCATAAAGCCTGTCCTGTCATTACCCCGATCATAGGTGACTAAGGTGTTCCGGGCAACAATTCCTGCCGCAAAATAAAATTACAAAAGTAAGAGATTATCACCACAATAATGCAAACAAACAGGATATATCGAGTTGGAAAAGCATAAGGTCCATCATGTACACTGCAAGAACCTTGGACTTTCCAAAACTACGACATACTATGCTACGAACAAGCATACAAAGATGGACATGCATAGAAGGAGTGAGGGGACTTTGGATTCACGAATGAAGTAACATACCTCCTAAAAGAGTGGTCGATTCTGAATTTGGGAAAATTCCCAAGCAATATGCACCACTAAGCCTTGTGTGCTACAAAGCATACCGTTTAAGAGACAGAAACATAAGAGATATGTGTTAGATAGCAATTTGAAAAGCTAGCATAGAAAATAGATGAGGCAATAATGTCTTATAACCACTTAAATTAGCTTTGCCACCAACCAGTGACCCATTCTGGTCTTCAAGCAAGTAAAGTGTTTTTTTGTTAAAAAAAAGATTAATTACCCGGAATAGGTAGTTTTCTGGAGACAGTAGTAACTTATTTCCATTTTTAAATACCATCTCAACCTCTGGGAAAGTTTTTGATAGTTGGGAAACATCCCTGTATTACATTTCAAGAAAAACCATTAAGAAGAATGGAAGAATAAATTTCAGCATTCAACAAAAAGGTAATTGGCAGAACCTTCCAGCACCAGAAACACATATATCATCAAAATTAGGGTCAGGACCATGAACCCTTTTTAGAAAATGGACTTCCCTTAGGACCTGCATTAACAAAGCCAGGTAAACATGCAGAACAGGTCTGAACATTAGAATGCAGGTACATAGATGATGATATTTATGTTAACTAGGTTAAGCTTAAAAAATTAAAAAAAGTTACAAATAAAATCGAAGTCTCAGGGAATATTTTCAGTTAGAAAAAATATAGAACAATTAGGTTTTTTTTTTAAAAAAAAAAAGATTAACCATGGTAGCTGACATTTTTTTTCAAGATGGAGGCACAGACCAAGCAAAAGTTGATGGAATACTATATCCAAATGACTAGACCACAGAATCAATCCCCAACAATTATAGAACATTTTAATTATTCAGGGCTTCTACAATAACTAAACAAATGCAAATTACACTAAGTCACTTAATTAATAGTTTACCAATACTTTATGTTTCCTTGTTAAAGTGCAATGACCAGTTCCCCAATAACAATTTAAAAAAATGGACCATTCATGCTTAAGGATAACAATCATGCAGAATAGACACGCATCAAACTTCAGAAAGGAACAGGACCCATAAGAAGTAGCATCTCCAAGTACTTGGAAAGAAAGAAATAAAGCAGTTTTCATGAGGATGACTAGTTTATATGACATTGTACTCAGTTTCTCCACAGATCCCTTGTAACATAGATTATAACAAATGACAAAATGTGTAGTCATTCTAAAGATGAAAAAAACTTGTTCCAAATAAATCATATTTATTTCTGCTGAATATGGCTGACTTAAATAGAGTTTACAATGTAACAACTTTACATAAAAAGATGCATAAAATTAGCAACAGAATAAAAATGATCCTATCTAATAACTAATAGAATAAAAAACTAATTCTATCTAATTAAAAATGATCCTATCTAATAACTAATAGAATAAAAACTGATTCTATTAAAACTGATCCTATCTAATATTTAATTTAGATATTCTCGACACCCCCCCTCAAGCTGGAGAACAGATATCGATCATTCCCAGCTTGGACAGAAATCCTTCGAACATCGTAGTAAACAGTCCCTTGGTGAGAACATCGGCGAGCTGCTCTGATGATGGAACAAACGATATGCAGATATCGCCATTTTCCAGCCTCTCCTTGATGAAATGTCGATCTATTTCGACATGTTTGGTCCTGTCATGCTGTACAGGATTCTGAGCAATACTGATTGCCGATTTGTTGTCGCAATACAACTTCATCGGTTTATCTCCTTCAACCTTCAGCTCCTCCAAGATCCTCCTAAGCCATAACAACTCACATACTCCTTGCGCCATGGCTCTGAACTCGGCCTCCGCACTGCTTCTAGAGACAACTGGTTGCTTCTTGCTCCTCCAAGTAACTAAGTTGCCCCAGACAAAGGAGCAATAACCGGTAGTAGATCTTCTGTCTGTAGAACTTCCGCCCCAATCAGCATCAGTGAAGATCTCCACTCTTCGACTTCCATTCTTCGAAAACATGATTCCTTTACCAGGACTCCCTTTCAAGTAATGAAGAATCCGGTAAACAGCCTTGGAGTGTTTTTCTGAGGGACAATGCATAAACTGACTAACCAAGCTCACAACAAATGCAATATCTGGTCTCGTATATGGCAAATAAATCAGTTTCCCCACCAGCTTCTGATACCGATTCTTGTCCACAGGCTCAGCACCATCTTCTTTTTCGAGTTTTTGATTCGGATCAATAGGAGTCGCCACTGGTTTACATTCGAGTAATTTGGTCTCTTTCAAGATATCGAGGACATATTTCCTTTGCGAGATAATTATACCTTTTGAGGATCTAGCCACCTCCATTCCAAGGAAATATTTGAGTTGTCCTAGATCCTTGACTTTAAACTGGTTGGATAAGAAATTCTTCAACGACTCCAACTCTACTGTGTCATCTCCTGTCATAACAATGTCATCTACATACACAATTAAAACAACAATTTTATCATTATTGTGTTTGTAGAACATAGTATGATCAGACTGGGCCTGAGTGTAACCATGTTGTTTAACAGCTCTCGTGAATCTCTCGAACCAGGCTCTCGGAGATTGTTTCAATCCATAAATGGATTTCTTTAGCTTGCAGACCCTGCCATCCTTCTTCAATTCATCAAAGCCTGGAGGAACTTCCATAAACACCTCTTCCTCTAGCTCACCGTTTAGGAACGCATTCTTCACATCAAACTGTCTGAGAGTCCAATCCAGATTGGCGACTAGTGAGAGTAGGACACGTACGGTGTTTAGTTTGGCCACAGGTGCGAAGGTCTCCTCGTAGTCAAGGCCGTATGTCTGAGTGAAGCCTCGTGCTACGAGTCTTGCCTTGTATCTCTCGACCGAGCCATCTGCATGGTATTTGATGGTGAACACCCACTTGCTGCCTACAGATCGTTTCCCCTCAGGTAAAGGAGTTAGATCCCACGTGTCATTCTTCTTCAGGGCCTTTAACTCCTCAAAAACTGCCTCTCTCCATCTCGGAACTTCTAGAGCTTCATGTATCGACTTAGGTAGTGCATCATCCATAATCCTGGTGGAAAAAGCTTTGAAATCTGGAGAGAGTTTATTATAAGATAAGAAATTTGATATTGGATGTTTTGTGGTACATGATCTAACACCTTTGCGCAAGGCTATGGGTTCAAAGAATTCTGTAGAAGGCTCTAAATTTGGAGAAGAAATAGGAGAAAGAGAAGTCGTACCTTGGACCATAGTCGAGTCCGATGGTTGGCATACCTTGGGGGCCGGTGGAACATTACTTGGTCGAGTCATCCGTCTAGAATAAACACGAAGTTCAGTAGGTGGTTCCAAGTTGGTTTCTACCTGAGTCTCACGAGGTTGTGAATTTATAGGTTGTGAAATCCTAGGATTAGTTACGGAAATATAAATTGGTTCCACTGAGCTATTTACAACCGATTTTGGCAAGGATGTTTGTTCCTAAAAACTCATTTCAGAGTCATTCCCCCCCGGAAGAGAGTTTTTGTCAAAAAAAGGTTGTTTTTCAAAAAACGTGACATCCATACTCAAATAATACTTCCCAGATTAGGATCAAAGCATTTATACCCTTTTTGTGTTGGTGAAAAACCTAGAAATATGCATTTATGTGCTCGGGGATCGAGTTTTCCTCTATTTTGGCCGTGTATATGAACAAAAGCAATGCAACAAAAAAATTTAGGTGTTAAATCAGTGAAAGATCTATTTTCAGGAAACATATTCTTTAGAGCTTGCAAAGGAGTAATATAATTAAGAACTCTTGTAGGCATTCGATTTATCAAATAAGACGTTAAGAGTGCTTCATTCCAAAAACGATTAGGAACATTCATAGCAAACAGTAAAGCCCTAGTCACCTCTAATAAATGCCTATTTTTTCTTTCAGCAACTCCATTTTGTTGGGGAGTATCAATGCAAGAGCTGTGATGAATAATTCCTTTTTGTTTCAAAAAATCACCTAAGATTGCATTAAAATATTCTCGACCATTATCGGTTCTAAGAACTTGAATATTTGCTTGAAACTGAGTATTGATCAGTGAGTGAAAATTTTTGAAAACACTTGCTGCCTCGGAGTTTTCTTTTAGTAAATAAATCCACGTGACTCTAGTGTGATCATCAATGAATGTGATGAACCATCTAGATCCTGAGGTGTTTTTACTCGTGAAGGGCCCAAAATATCACTATGCACAAGAAAAAGGTTTTGTTGGCAATACTTTAAAGATGGATAAACAGATCTATGATGTTTTTCCAATTCACAAGCTTCACACTGAAAAGAAAAACCGTCCTTTTTTTTGAAAAGATTTGGAAACAAATATTTCAAGTAATTAAAACTAGGATGGCCTAACCTGTAATGCCACAACATTATTTCATTCTCACAATACAAGGTAGTAAAGCATCTCGGTTTCTGAACTTGTTTATCTGAAGGATTGTCCGTGACCAAGTGATAGAGTCCATCAACCTCCTTAGCATTGCCAATCATCTTCCCCGAACAAGGGTCCTGAAATTCAAATCCAGCAAATGTTATTGTAGCAATGCATTTGCAATCATGAATAATACGATTAACAGAGATGAGATTGCAAGAGAGCTTTGGGACATGTAGGACATTTAGTAATGTGAGAGATGGAGAAATAATGATAGAGCCTTTTCCAGCTATAGAGGTTAGGGAGCCATCAGCAATTTTTACCTTCAGATTACCAGATAAAGGAAAATAAGATGAGAATATGGAGGAATTATCGGTCATGTGATCTGTTGCCCCTGAATCTATGATCCAAGGGTTTGATTTAGAACCGGCTATGAAAGCTGTAGGATATGTACCTTTCTGGGCTAATGATGAAGAGGCAATATAAGATGATGGGTTAGGAGTGTTGGATATGGAATGAGAACTCATTAGTTGATACAATTGCTCTAGTTGTTCTTTGCTGAAGGCAGACAGTTCTGTGGCAGGTTTCGGCTCTTCAGAAGCATCTTCAGATGAGGCATAGAATCCCTTTGCATTACGAGAATTTCGATTGGCTGAAAAATTCTCGGCTGGCTTCCCGTGTAGCTTCCAACACTTGGCTTTAGTGTGTCCCGGCTTGTTGCAGTGCTCGCAGATTGGCCGATCTCTGTCGTTCCGACGATCGTTGCGACGTAATGGCTGACCCGAGAACAAGGCAGAAGACTCGGTGGGATTTGGTGAGTGGCCTCCAAGCATGATTGTCCGCCGGCTCTCCTCTCGTCTGACTTCGGAGAAGACTTCTCTTGTGCTTGGTAGTGGTTCACGACCAAGAATGCGCCCTCTGACTTCATCCAATTCCATGTTAAGGCCGACAAGGAATTCGAAGACGCATTCTTTTTCCACCATCTTCTGGAATAGAGCCTTGTCCTTAGCACAACTCCATTCGTAGTCGCTGAACATGTCAACCTCTTGCCACAAGGTCTTGAGTTCAGTGTAGTATTGAGTGACAGTTTTTTCTCCTTGTTTTAGCTTCCATAACCGAGTTTTTAGTTCAAACCATTGTCCTGCGTTCCCGAGATCAGAATAGGTCTCGTTCACAGCATTCCAAATGTCATGAGCAGTAGGTAGGAAGAGATAAGTTCTCCCTACACTCGGATCCATGGAATTTATGAGCCAAGACATAATCATCGAGTTTTCTGCCTCCCATCTTTCAGATTCTTCATCTTCTTCGGCAGATTTCGTAGTGGTACCTGAGAGATAGCCGAATTTTCCATGGCCACGAATAAACAGTTTCACAGATTGTGACCACTGTAAGAAATTATTTCCATTCAACTTGTGAGAAGTGATGAATATGTTTTGGAAGGATTCAGTGTTTAGGGTGATTGAAGATGAGCGAGTAGAACTCTAGTCGATACCAGGTATCATCGTAGGGTTTGGCCATTTTGGCTCTGACACCATAAAGATGAAAAAAACTTGTTCCGAATAAATCATATTTATTTCTGCTGTATATGGCTGACTTAAATAGAGTTTACAATGTAACAACTTTACATAAAAAGATGCATAAAATTAGCAACAGAATAAAAATGATTCTATCTAATTAAAAATGATCCTATCTAATAACTAATAGAATAAAAAAACTAATTCTATCTAATTAAAAATGATCCTATATAATAACTAATAGAATAAAAACTGATTCTATCTAATTAAAACTGATCCTATCTAATATTTAATTTAGATATTCTCGACACATTCTTCTATTAGAGAACATGTAAATGCAACAAAACCCATGCTTTTAAATCTTGCATGCAAAATCAAAAACTTATTCTAAACCTCAAACAATAATTCTGGCTTCTGTAAAGCGATATTAATCCTAGGATAGAAAACATAACTCGACTAGTAAACAAACTAAACTTAGCAGGAATCTCAAAGCAACTAGATCTTACAGCGTCTCTAAATGCAACAAAAGCATCTTTTGGTAAGTAAGCATATGTTGTGCCACTGTCCAAGACTGTTCCATGCCTTCCATCAAAGACCCCAGCTGGTAACTTCAGTCGCTTTCCAGCGACATGCATTTCCTTAAGCTCAATGTTATAGTAAGGGCTGTTGAGATTCAAAAAATACAGTGGATGAATAAGAAGAAACAGATGAATTATTAGGAAAAATGCATCTACAAATACAATACTATAAGAGAAGTGTGCCTGCGGAAAGGGTCTGAATGGGAGAACACCATTTCAGGGGGAGGAGTGATATTTCCGAGAACCATTGCACCTCCACCAACATCCATCCCACCATAACATAAAGAAAAAGAATCACCAATAACATTCTTATCAACAAGTTGATCCATGATACTAAGCTGTCCCCGACCCAAACCCATTATACCATCAGCTCGTTGTCTGTAAAGGTCACCTGTTTCCCTATTTTCACAACCAAAAACAGCACGCTGTGGCACAAGTTCACTTTCATTCCCAAAAGAAATAACATCCTCCCCAAGTACGCCACTGCTGGAACTCATCTCAGCATAGCGTCTGTCATAAGTGCATTGCTTTTGCTCATCATCGCAATTACAACTCGGATTGCATTTTACAGGTTGATAAGTGCTAGACAAATCCGGTTGGAACCTTGGATCCTGGATTCCAACAAGACATTAATATAGCCAAAAATCACCAGTTCCCAAATCAATTTCTAACTAACAGATTTGCAAATCAATTTCTAACTCACTTCCTTATTAGAAGGATAAAAAAATAAGACGAAAACGGCATTTAACTTAATTGTAATTCTACTAAACTGATAACTAGCTAATTTCAAATCGATCAAGGTTAATTAATTCTCCCAATCTCAATACAAAACAAAGGCATGAATTTTTCAAATTGATTAATATTATTAGGAAGGTTGGACTTTACTACTTTGATAAGAAACCGAACCTGATGATTGCCGCAATGTGTACAACTGGAGCAAGGAACATAAGTTACAGTACTTCCGGTGTCAACAATAAGTGCGAATTCCTGAGGAGGCGTTCCTATCCATAATCGAGTAGTATAATAACTGCAAATTACCAAAATGAAATTTCAATATTTCGGAAAATAAGAAAGGAAAAGAAAAAAAATTGAACATTTTTTATTGGAGTGGGACCCGTGGGAAAGGAGATCATCGTAGAGTCTCATGTGAGCGTTTGAAGTGGAAGGAGAGAGTCCCGCTTGCTGGAGATGACGGCGGATATTATCCAAGTGCCGGTACTGTGAATGGTTGTGTGAGGATAGTTGTAGAGGAAGGAGCATCGGGCGTCGATGATGATGTTTTGCATCGACGGTGAAGAGATTGAAGCAGATCACGGCAGCGACGATTAGAAGGAACGAAATTAGGTGAAGGCAAGTTCGAGCCATGGCGCGTTACTTTGGCCGCCGAATTGGGTCAACGACCACAGACCACTGCAAACAAATAGATTGCATTCCCTTTAAAAATGGAAATGTGCTCTTCTAATATTACTATTAGGATAATTATTAATTTTGAAGGATTTATTATTATTATTATTATTATTATTATTATTATTATTATTATTATCATTATTATTATTAAGCATATTTTATAATTTAACCACTTAAATACATTATTTTTTCTTTTAATTTTCAATATATTTTTTAAACTATAACTTATTTTAACTTATTCTAAAATAAAAAAATAAAATATTACAATATGTATATTTGGATTGACTACATGATTGGTCACTTTTGTTTATGTCTTATTTACTTTTTTCATTGATTTCAAAAAATATAATATTCAGTTATTTTTATTTTTATTTAATTCAGATAAGATTACTGAAAATTAACTATCGTTAGACCTTTAATAGATTATTAAGATAGCGCGTTAATAAAAAAGTTTAATTTTATTATAACCCCTGAACTTTAGATAAAATTTTAATTATGGACTTTTTGCAAATCTAAAATAATTTACAGATAAATTTACAATTTACCCTTTTTTTCAATATATTTTTCTTCTCCAAACTATCATTAAGCCTTAACCACTAATCACCATTACTCTAGCCATCTACTACCACCCAAACACAACAAAAAACCTCTAAATCACTTGGCTATCATATACCCCAAGAAAATCAAAACTAACATCTAAACTAAAACACAACAATTGATGTCTCAACCAAACAAAAAAGGGAGAAGGAAAAGGTAGAAGATCAATGTTGGTTGGTCATCGTGGATTTTCAACTATTGGAGCGTCAGACTCTCAATCCCAATAGTAAAGATGTCCTATTTAGGAAGGGCACCAATATATTTTAAAATCGTAAAGATTCAACAATGAATGAATATATTATCCAAAATTCTGGATCGATAGTTTCGGGTTGACCTAAGAGGTTTATGGACCTTATGGAGTTTCAATTAAAAGCGTTGGGCCAAGTTTGGGCTTAATTGGATATCAATTGGGCCTGGTTGGCTATAAAAAGGATTTTTAAGTATAAGACAAATGTGAAGAACCAAAAGTGCAATTAGATCTTTGATAAAAAGACGATGGCATCCTTGGTTTTTACTTAGGTTGGGGTGTGGGTTTTGGGAAAATTGAACATTTTCCCTTCTCTCATCTTTATTCCTATCTTTTTCCTCATTTTTTCCTTCACGATTCATAGATAAAATATTGTGGTAAGGGTTTTTCCCATGTTCCATTTAGTTTTATATTCATCCTAAATCCCTCTAACAACTTTGGTTTGGTAATCCAAATCTTTGGTTTCCTTGTTTACTAGAGAAAGTGAAAGTAGAGCAGCCAAACCCTAGAAGAGGTGAGTATCGCTAAGAAATGAGCTTCATTCTGGGTTCTCAAGCTAAGGTAGTTTATTTCTAATCCTTTGTGGTTTTATAGTTTCCATAATCATGATGTTCGATGGGGATTTGGGTATTTAACCATGATAGGGATTCTTACTTAATTCTTGTCTTGTGGACATTTTTGTGATAAAGCTTGTATTGTTTTAGTGCTAAATGGCCCTAAATAACTCCCATAAGCTTAAAAAGTTGATTTTGGACCAAACTAGAGTGTTTGGGAGGATTCATGAGTATTTCTTGAGCCTATTTCTAAGTTTTCTATGTTATAGTATCAATATTGGATAAACAATATTGATACTGGATGAACTGTCGATTTTTGGGCATTTTATAAGGGGAGAATCGATACTCTGAGGAAGAGTATCAATACTACAACCCTGTTATTGATAATAAGGGTAATTATATTGATACTAGAGGTAAATTTTGTAATCAAGTAGTTGTCTATGGTACCGATACTCAAAGGGGTATAAATATTTGACCTAGAGTATCGATATTGTATGTATGGTATCGATACTACTCATTTTAGATGGTTATATTCGACTTTGTCAAGTCCCGTAAAAGTTAAGGATGACCTGTAATGGTGATACTTAGTCTGTGAGGGATTTAAATGGCAAAAAGTGCCTACAAATATTCTTAGGAGTGGGTTACGACTAAATAATCATACTAGACAAAATACTTTCGCGTATCTTCAACCGAACACGTATTGAGTAATCATAAATGAAGGATCATTCTAAATTATGTGCCAGCGAGTGAGAAGATGAACAATGTGACAAGTTTTATAAAAGAAAATGAGTACTAGGTGAACACCTATAATCAAAGATATGTAAGTTTCCTTATTGGTTCAAGGGTAAATCGATGAGAAGTTTAATGAGAATGATTAGGGAGTCGTTGTCAATGAACTATATCTGAATCGAGTGTTGAACTAGTTATAATATACCAAGAGGTTGGGAATAATTATAAATTGCCTCAAGGGCATAAAATACTAAATCACTATTAAGTTTTAGCATAAAGTTCTAGGAGAAAGAACAAAAAATATTATAGTAAATGAGGGAGTGATCTTACCAACTAGTGTTAAAATTAATAAAAATGTTACATATGTGATAACCATAATAACCTTATGAGGTAAGATTCTATAAGACTTATACCTTTTTTACTACTCGAAAAATGATAAGGACACTTAAGTTACTTGTGTGTGTGTGAGTAAACATCATCCAATTGTTTGAGAAATATCCAGACATATCTAAGTTAGTGCGATGACACTTTAGTTGCTAGTAGGACATAGGCTCCGATGCTATGTGAACCTAGAGGTGTCTCAAGTAATATGAGGAGTAGAGTAATAGGAAGTAGGCTTTGATGTTATGTGACCCCAAAGACGTCCTAGGTATTGGTAACGAGGGCCTTTTTAGAAGAAGATTTTGACGCTGTATGACCCGAGTCTCATCTAGGGTACCTTGGGTAAGATAGATAGGTGTGAGTCCCGAGATGTTAAGTGATCCTTGGTGTAACATCCCAAATACCGGTATTGGTTATTTTATATACACGTGGAGATGCAGAGGGCAAGGAAAAATATCCATAACTATCTCCATCTTTCTTCCTCATTCAGTCGTGAAACCTTATTTAGAAAGGTGAGTTCCCTGTTGTTGATTATTTCTTAATTTTAAGCTTGGTTTATGTTCTTTAGATGATACTTAAGCTTAAGGAAAGCTTAAGTTGTGTTAAAACCAAAAGATGAAGGAGTTAGGAAGGATTAAAGACAAGAGGTTTCTAAGTGAAATCTTGGGAGAGAGTTAGTAAGTAAAGTTTGAGACTAAATTTGACTTGTCATCGGTTAAATTAAGAAGTATGAAGTGTTAGAAATGAAATTAGAACATGTTTTAAAATTAGTAAGATTCTTAATGTTAAGGCATATGATGAGATTTTGAAGATAATGATGTGTTATATGGACATAAGATGAATTGAGTAAGTGTAGCTAAGTTTAATGGCATGAAAGGAGTTCAAAATGGAAAATTTAAATTGGTATTGGGAAATTTTCAAGTTAAATGAGTGATTTCTGGGCAAGGAGTATCAGTATTGTTCATCCAGTATCGATACTTCAAAGATAAAAATATTATATTTGGGGTGAGGGTATCGATACTATATGAATAAGTATTTCTATACCATAAGCCAATAGTGGATAAGTTATTCAAAGAGTATCGATACCTGAAGGGTAGTATCGATACCTGAAGGGTAGTATCGATACCTGAAGGGTGGTATCGATACCTTAAGGGTAGTATCGATACCTGAAGGGCACTGATACCATTAAATGAGTATCGATACCATTTTTAAGATAGAATTCCAGAACCGGGAATGGGTATCGATACCAAATCATGGTATCGATACCACAACAAAGGAAGTATCAGTACCATGCCTTGGGTGCCGATACTACTCAAAGTGGAAAATTATATTAAGCATTTCTTTTAGCTTGGGTTATTAAGGATCGAATTATGATACTTAGAATTCTGATATGCATATCAAATGTATGATTGTGTAGATATTGAGTATAAGCAAGTTCTGGAACGATCAAGAGAGAGATAAAGTCATAGAAGTTGATTTGGACTAAGTGAGGCTAAGGTGAGTGCATAATATAGTATTAACTTTGGTTTATGGAAACAAGACTTGGGACAAGTATATTTTCTATGTTTATATTTCATGGTTCAATAAGTTATAAACATGCATATGTTATGATCATTATGAGTACATACATATGTAATATATGTTTATATGTTTTGATATATGCTACGTGGTATATGTGAATATAAAGGAACAAACATAAGCTATAATATGTGAAATAAGTGATTATATGCACATATGATATTCGTTATAAGACAGAACATATATGATTACATGAGAAACGATATGAATATATGAGTACATGTATATGAGGTGAATTTATTTAATCATATGAAACATATAAATATACAAGACCATGTTATATGAGATGAGAGTTGTAGGTATAATTGGCATGCCAAGAGTCGAGGGTTTTATGTGGTCCTTCGGGACATATATGTAATCCTTTGGAACGTATATGTAGTTCTTCGGGACACATATTTGGTCCTTTAGAATATATGTGTGGTCCTTAAGGAGAATTATATGTGGTCCTTCGGGACATATATGTGGTCCTTCGGGACATATATGAGGTCCTTAGGGACAATTTTATATGCCCCTAGTAGGAATTTATACGAGCTGTGGTAACAACATATATGCACAACCTCAATGTGCTCACATACCTTAGGTTCTCAGGAATATACATGGGCACATAAAAGATATAAAAAGATAATTTACTTCTTATAAGATGTTATGTTATTGTTTGTTAATGATTGATCATATATGATATGATTGAATAGTGATATGATGGTTATGTTTGCATATGAAATAATTGGGTTGCATGTTCATGATTTAGGAAATGCATTATCGTATTATATGCCTCACTAAGTCTTTGACTTAGCCTGTGAATGTTTCACACGTAGGTACCAAAAAGAAAGAATACCATAATTAGGTTGTGCAAAGACATCATACCTCCACCAGAAGATCAGATCAAAAGTAATTTACACAGTATGTATTTTGTTGTAATAA